GGTGGGCTCAGCCCTTGCCGCGCTCTCTAAACCCTGGAGGGGCCAGTTCAGGGCCTCAGCCCGCCAGACCCTCCGCTCCCGCTCGCAGCCACCTGACCTAACCCCGGGCGCCTCGGGCGGTCCGCCCTCCCTCTCCGTGCAGCCCTGCCCCAAGTCTTCATCCTGCTCCCCACACTGCATTCCTTTCCCTGGCCGAGGGACCCACCTTTTGCGGTGGGCTCTCGGTTTTTAAAAAAGCCTCAGATTCTAGCAGCATGAATAGCAATGCTTTCATCCCGCTTCAAACATCTGCACACTATTGACCTTACGGGGTGGGCAAAAGTATGCTACCCAGAATAGAATGGCAAACAAACATTCCCGGAGGCCCTGCTGCTGGAGGGAAGACAAGGCAGCCTGCTTCCGAAGCGCCCCCCCCCCACGCCCCTTATCCTAGTTCTCCAGCAGGTGACCCCCAGGTCTGGAATGTGTGGGTGCTTGACTTCAGGTAGGAGAGATTTCACAGCAGCGGGTATTTTGAGAGTAAGTTTACTAAAGCTGGAGACGGTGAAACAAAGGAAGGGTTTAGAAGAGGCCACATCACGGCAGCAGGAGTGAGCCTCCATGGGGCTACCTAGATTGGGGGCGGGGGGTAGGTCACATTAGGAAAAAAGGAATTTTCCATGACAGCACAGAGCTGGAGGCTGGCCAAGGGAGTCCTCCAGGAACTCAGTCTCCTGGGAGAGAAGGGATAAAAGCGAGGGACTGTTGAGTGAGTCATAAAACATGACAAAGAACATGAATTCCAATGGAACCTTTCCTGCTTCCAGACTTTGCCCTTTAAAACACACACTCCACACAGTAACCTTAAAGTCGCTTCTCTTCTTAAACCCTGCACCTTCCCTTCCAGGACAATCCAAACCATCTGACCCACTTGATAGCAGGTTCCAGGTGGGCAGGGCGATGCCTGCACTGTTCACGGCCGAATTCCCCTAAGTGCTACCTCACCACCTGCAGGTTCCGTCTATGGTGGGGCTGAGACCGCAGGGAATGGGAGATGATCCATAGAGCTGATGTCTAGCTCTTCCAGGGCAGGCCCATGAGCCGGAATGACAGTTTGTTGAAGAAAACACCTGGCATTGCTTTTTCCAAGAATCTAAGACGCTGAGGAAATGGCTCTGCTGTTTCACTTCACTGCCTGGCAAGACAGCTCTGTGCTGGGCGGTGCCCCCTTCCTCTGGCCTCCTCCACCACCTGGCTCCTTCTCTGAAGTTCAGAGGGAGAAGCAACATAAAGTACTAATGGTCTGTTTCAGCACATTTGCATGTAGGCATGTGGAAAATTAAAACTATTTTGTTAGACGAGGGCATACATTATGGTTAGCTTTCTTTAAAAAGTCACACAGCCAAGCCATAAACTCAAAATGGATAAAAGACTTAAATGTACCGTAAGTTGCAAAACCATAAAAACCCTAGAAGACATAGGCAGTAAAATCTCAGGCATCTCTCAGAGTAATATTTTTGCCAATACATCTCCTAGGGCAGTGGTCGGCAAACTCATTAGTCAACAGAGCCAAATATCAACAGTACTTCTTCAAAATAGACTCGCCCAGGCCGAAAACCGACTTCTGCGCATGGGCCACGAAGTTTCAATCGCACTGTATGTGTGCCCGCACGTGGTATTTTGTGGAAGAGCCACACTCAAGGGGCCAAAAAGCCGCATGTGGCTCGCGAGCCGCAGTTTGCCGACCACAGTCCTAGGGTAAGGGAAACAAAGGAAAAAACTAAACAAATGGGACTACATCAAACTAAAAAGCTTTTGTACAGCAAAAGAAACCATCAACAAAATGAAAGGGGAACCCACTGCATGGGAGAATTTGCCAGTGATACATCTGATCAGGGGTTAATTTCCAAAATATATAAAGAACTTACACAACTCAAGACCGGGAAAACAGACAGTCCAATTTTAAAAATGAGCACAGGACCTCAATGGACACTTCCCATAAAAGGACATACAGTGGCCAAAAGGCATATGACACAATGCTCAACATCACTCATCATCAGAGAGATGCAAATTAAAACTACAATGAGATATCACCTCACACCAGTCAGAATGGTTATCATCAATAAACCAACAAACAAGTACTGGTTTGGAGAGAGCCAGAGGGAAAAGGGGGTGGGGGAGTGGGGATGGAGAGACTTTGCTTGGGATGTTGGGCACACGATGCAGTGGGCAGATGATGTTTATTGAGTTGTACACTTGAACCTGTATGGTTTTGCAAACCAATGTCACACCAACAAATTCAATTTAAAAATATGTATAATATATTTGTCTATAAGCTAGATGAGCATGTCACCACAGCTGCATTCTCAGCCAGAGGCAAAGTGGAATATTTTCAGGAAAGAACTTTTGCTGTGGCACCCATAAGCTGCAGTTTGCTTCTGCTTTCTCTTTGGTTCCCCTCTGGAGGTCAAATGATGCATTTCAACATGAACTGCTCTTGATGAACTCATTACCCAACTAAATGATCTCAACATAAAAGCAGAGCTTGCCACACTACCCGCATAATTTTTCTATCAAACCATTTATGTTAATTTATGACCTAAATTAACATAATATATATAGTCCCTACAACTTTAAATAATACTTCAGAGTCACTGGATTAAAGAAATGCTTTATAATAAAAAAACTAGCATTATAGTCTCAAAGTATCAAAATCCATGGCAGTCTGAGTTTATTATAATGAAAAATGTTAGGTTTTATCTACCAAAAAGAGGGTAATAGACTTCTTAAAAATGACAACAGTAAATTTTAAGAAATTTATTAAAGCATCTTATCACAAAATGGAAACATACAAATTAGAAACATGCAACCGTCATTTCCATAGTCAAGTTAAAACGTCATACATTTTTCCTGTTTTCATAGCTGAAAACTTCAGATCTTATACCTAACGCATTCACCCTGAATATTCTATTCATTCCTCCTGAAAGTATCCAGGGCAGCAAAATAACCAAAATGCAAACTATTATATAAAGGAAGTGCAAAGTTAAAAAAGTAAATGTGTAGAGAGCACCCCGCCCCACCCCCCAATTAAAGGCAAACAATGGCACTTTGCTCTTGCTTAACTAGATTGTCTTCAAAAACTACTAAAATGTAAAACAGAAAAACAACTGACTTCTAATAGATGTCCCAAAAGCTTGTTAGTGTTTGAAAATAAATGCTTACACAAAGGAAAATGTAGTTTATATCAAACAAGTTTGAAGAGCCCTGTATTGCAGCATTCTGTAAAATAAACACGACAAAAAGCTGGTATAGGGTTTATTGACAAAGGCAGGATGTCTTCAGGCGGGTATGTAAGGAGGCGGTGGTTCTTTTTCAGGCATCTTCACTGCCATTTCATAGGTTGGCAAAACGTACTGAAGAGAGAAAAAAGTTGTATCAGACTCAATTCTCCTTTAAAATCCTACTTGGAATAATTCAGCTTTCAGATTTTATGTCCTAAAAAGGGACACACAACCCCACAGAGAAGAGCTGAAGAAACTGTTAGCTACGCAGGGCCTGAGAGGAGAGATGACTAGTAACCTGGACCTTTAATGCAGACGAGACATCTGATCCAGAATGCGAGAGAGGGATGAAGGGAGGAGGGAGGCCAGGCGGGAAGGAGGGATGGAAGGAAGGGCAGAATTTTGCCTCTGAACTAACCCTGGGGGCTACCAAACACCTGGACAGGAAGCATGTGCCCCTGCTCTTCCCACCTTCTCATGTGGCTGATCAAGTACCAACTACACCGCAGGTGGTTGCAGGTCTAGATTTAGGGCCCCAGTGATGATGCTAAAGGAAGCCTCCAATAAAATGCTGCGTCCTGAATTTCATCCTCATCTACAGTCAGAGGATCGGGTACTTATTTCTTCTGGGGTAAAGGGCACATCTATGTAGGAGAGCAGCATTCTAACCTACTGACTCCAAGTGTGACAGGCTGGCCCTACACGGGCCACAGAGATTCTACATGTTGAAAACCTGGAAAGAGTAGAGTAGCAACTAGAGGGCCCACGAGGTGAGCACCCCCAAAAGACTCGTGGAGCCCATTCAGTCATCTCCCCACAGAAAGTCAGTGTCTCCTTTGGATCGTATGCATGTTTTGTGAAAGCAACACAACTGATGGTACCTCCATCCTCAAAAGTTCCAGAACCCACAAGCCTGGCATGGGTCGCACTGCTGTTTCCTGCCTACTCTCCCCCCAGAATGCAATACTCTTAGGAAGCACTTATGAATCAAACCTGAATCAAACCTAACAGCCAAACTGAGTAAGACTGGCAGTGCAGGCTGCCTTTCGTCCATGTACCCAGGATTCCAACTGGGAAATGCTCAATCTTGTGGATTTAAGCTATTCATGCCCTAAACCACAGCATGACACTGCAGAGAAAGTTAAGACCCAGGTTCTTGAGAAGAATCAATAATGGCTGGTGAAGTTTCAATATATTAGAAGGTCATTCACCTGTGGAGGTGCTTCAAAGGCAGGGTACACAGCAATCTCTGGTGTGTTTCGGTTGTTGATGTATTTATAGCAGTTCCAAACACAGTTGATTAGATAAGCCTAAATGAATAAAAATAAAATTTACATATGCTGGAAGTCAACAGACTACCTGTTCTAAACTAAAGGGACTTCTAATGCTTCCCCCCACCGTTCTCCATGGAGAAGGAAACTGACATATACAGGCCAGGCCCTATCTCCACTTGCTCTCGCTTAAATGTCACAAGTTTTATTATCATCATTTTACAGAAAAACCAGATTTGGGGTATCAGATCTGATAACCATTGTGCTGCAGAAGAAACTGTTTCTGAACCTTGGAAATTTTAACAATTTTCAATCCAAATCATGAACCACTTCTAAAAACATGACAATCCTTAATAAGGATCCTGGCATTTCCATTCTCTGGAAACAAGAGGAAGGATATTCCCTGAAAGCTCTCTCTACTGCTGTCTCAAAATGAACAGTCACTTACTGTGAACTGTAGGGAGACAAGGCAACAGTGTTTAGATGGACAGTGTCACAGTCTAACTGGCCCCCCAAATATTTAGTCAGCAACTCACCTTAAAAATGATGAATAAGACGAAGAACGCAAGAACAATGAACAGGAGGCAGCTGGAGTCCAATGCCAGGAGGTCATCTTTATAGGGAAAATCAGGCTATAAAAAAAAAAAGGCGGGATGAAGAGGCAGAGCAGAGAGGATTTTTAGGGCAGTGAAACTAGTCTGATGAATACATGTCATTATACATGTGCCCAAACCTGTGTGGAATGTACACCAAAATGAACCCTAATGAAAACTATGGATTTTAGGTGATAATGATGTGTCAATGCAGGTTCACAACTGTCACAAATGAATCACTGAGGTTGGGGATGTGGGTAGTAAGAGAGGTTATGGGGGCGGAAGTAGGGGATATGTGGGAAACTCTGTACTTTCTGTTCAATTTTGCTGTGAACCTAAAACTGCTCTAAGAAACAATTCAGCCACAGCAACTGCCCTCTGTGACAACCTAAAGAGCATGGCACAACTACAAACAAAAGGCACCAAAGTCAGAACTGATTCTAATAAAAACTTACAGAATTTAACTCAAAGTACTTTAAAGCCTCATCATTAATGCATGTGACTGATCACTTAAAATACATTTGTTTGAATATTCAGAAGAGTCCTAAGAGTCTAAATTGAGCTCACTTTCTTTCTTTTCAAAATCACTAAATCAAGAAGTGCTGATATTTATCTAAAGTCCGTGGGCCATTTGGTTCTACCTGGGGAAAATAATTAATCTAAAAGCCAATTGTTAGTCTCCCTGCTCATTAGGAGGGGCAAAAGAAGGCATGCCCCTGGTTAGAAAGCCAGGCGATCACATGACTTACTGCAGGCATACCACGTTCTACTGAGAAGGATCAGCTATATGTATGCAAATATTTAGTTGGCATTTACTGTGTGCAAGGCAATGAGCTAGGTTCAAGGAGAGGGGCATTACAGAAGAATAGTTTAGGATGTACAAGGTGGCCAACAGACAAAGTCCCTTCCAGGCTGAGAGACCAAGCGAACAAAACAGGGAGAAACCAGTGAGGTCTGTAAAAGTAGCAAACCTTTAATTTTCGTGGGTTTCTATATAGCTCATTTAATCGTTTTAAACCACATTTTTCAATGGAAATGTCAACACAAATAATCTCACATTTTTGTAAAAAAGTAGCACAAAGAAATCCCAAAGGACCAAAAAGAAAGAAAAATCCACACACGAACCCCAAACTAAGTGTTCCCTTGGGACAAAACAATTCTTTAAGCTTTCTTCACCTCTAAATAAAAAGGACAAACACATAATGGAACCAGCTCACGGGAGAAATGCTATGACTTTATTCAGAAGGCTTGCAATTTTCAGCCAGCGATGACATCAGCGGAGAGAACAGTGTTTAGGAAGCTGCTGACCAGGCCAACAGGCCCTGTGCCTGGCCACTTCTCTCCAGCCTCGCCACATTCCTTCCTTCCATTCCTCCTGTGTGCCAGCCACCAGTCCTTTCAGTCCCCTGGCCATCTCCCATGCTCCTTCCTGCTTCAAGGTGTCTGTTTTACCCGGAACATTTTCTTTTGCACTTTCCCTATCCTAATTCCTACTTGGAATTAAATCTCACTTCCCAGCTCAGGTCTGATACCTGTTTGACATCCACTCACATAGCAGCCTACACTTTTCCTTCACAGCTTTTATCACAATTTTAATTCAGTAACTGTCAATTTTCCAATTCCTTCACTAGAAAGTTCTACTGATATATCCCTAGGATCCAGCAGTGCCTTGCACATAAGAACCAACAAAGGTTTTTTAGAATGAATGATAAATCTGGTGGTACGCAAAATGGATTAGGCAGAAAATCGGAAAGTGGGGTGCAAATTCTTGAAAGGCAGAATTTTTTAAGTGAACTTTCATTTGTCAGGACCCCACTCCTCCTTCAAGACCTTACTTTGGTCCAGTGTTCCCTGCCCCTCTGTCATACAGCACGTAAGCTCCTCATTTACCACCGTGCTGTGACAGCTCTAGTTCATTATCAGATAACATCTTCATGTCCTGACTCCCCAAATGGTTTGCTCCTTGAAGGGGAAGTTATCTTTTTTTTTTTTGGGGGGGGGGGGTCTTTATATCTACATCATTCACCAACAGTTCGCCTAGAACAGAATAAGCAGACAATAGGCACTCAAATATTTGCTATGAAGGCCTGCAAAAATAAAAAGCTAATACTTTAATGAGTGCCAAGTACAGTCGAATTATTATACTTTTAGTTTATTCAAAACAAAAGTTGAACTTCTCCTCAAATTCCATAATAACCATTTTTAGGGATTTCTAATATTGACTATCCAAATGGTATGGTAAGAAGATAATTCTATTTTCATCTTACTGGTTTCAACATGGTAGTTAAGAGTAGTGATATTATTTTAGAACACTTCAAAAAAATAAATAGGGCCAGTTAACATAAAAATAGTGCCTAAAAACCTAAGAATTTAAATTTAAATATTTTACTTAAAATGAAAAAAAATAAGTTTAATTAGCATACACACTTACTAATTGATCCAGATATTCTTTGATTCTTGGCAAGTAAGTGAGAGAACTGATAGCAACCAGGCAACTGAGGACGAAGTCAAAAAGCCGGTAACAGAAGAATGGAATAAGCCAACCCACTTGATACTGAAGAAAAAAAAATAACAACCACAACATCACATAAATGAAAGTACTAAGTACCGTTCAGTAAAAAGCAAAGTCCAAAAGTTGAAAACATAGGATACTTACAGAAATTGCTCCATATACCAGCATTGAACTGATTATAAACATAAGAACAGAGACGGCAAAAAGAACACAGGCATTATCTAAGAAAACAAAAACCAAAATCTAATTAAGCAACTTACACAAAAAGAACAAAACTCTTCATGACAAAATAACACTTTAAAGTTAGCTTACAAACATCAAAGTATTTTCAAGATTGGCTATGAAAAAATCTAAGAGGGAAAAAAAATCCAAGAGGGTAAAAAAAAAATCTGCCTCAGCTTTAAGTAATGAAGCTTAAGCAATTAGTCCCTTTGTTTTCTTGTTTGTTTAACTGCTACAACTCACTGATACTTATTAAGGACTAGAGGCCCAGTGCACAAGTTCATGCACCAGTAGGGTCCCTCTGCCTGGCCTGTGGGATCAGGCCAAAACGGCTCTCCGACATCCCCCTAGGGGTGCCGGATTGTGAGAGAGCGCAGGCCAACCCAAGGGACCCCACTGGTGCACAATCAGGAGTGGGGAGAGATGCGGGAGGTTGGCCAGCTGGGGAGGGACCAAGGGAGGGCTCCAGGGCGTGTCCAGCCCATCTCATTCAGTCCCAATCAGCCGGACCCCAGCAATAAGCTAACCTACGGGTCAGAGTGTCTGCCCAGTGACCACTGCATGTCATAGCGAGCGGTTGAGCGGATTTAGCATACCATTAGCATATTACGCTTTGATTGGTTGAACAGACGACTGGACAACCAGACACTTAGCATATTAGGATTTTTATAGGATGGCACATGAACCAGGTACCCTGCTAGGGAGACAGCTCTCTGCCCAGAGTCTAAGAGGTTAAGACATGCAAGCAGCAAATTAAAATCCAAAGTGGCAAGTGTTACAACAGAAGCAGAAACAATCAGCTTTGCCTGGAGAATCAGGAATAAAATATAAAAGAGTAAGTTGGGTTTTGTGATTTGAGCAGGGTTCAACCGAAGGTAAAGGCTGGTATTTCCTTAGAAGACGTGTGTATTAAACACAGAATGCTACAGATGCCCCCTCGTACCTTAGATAAAATACAGGATCTGAAATTAAAGGCTGTCCTTAATTAATCTCCTCTTCCCCACCCCAACACCCAAGCTCACTGCTCCGCATCCTTCAGCTGGGCTTCTCTGCTATATTCAGGTCCGTTTTGTTTCTCAACTTGCTCATATTGTTCCAAAGAAACACAGATATCACATGACCAAGAACTATGTATTTTCTATTCTCTCAACAGCAAGGGCTTTTGTAGAATTATAACTAACAAAAACGGACAATGAATACATCTGATCGCTGGAGAGTTACAATACTCAGGCAACATACAATAAACTTGTAACTTCACACCTGGAGCTCTGGCCAAGGCTGGGAGCCGGCTGTACAGACATACAAGAATCTCAATAACCCTAAATCTTTTTCTACACCTCAATTTTAAGAGAAACGCACATGACCAGGGAAGAGGCTGACATGAGGAGATTCAGTAATATTTTATAACCTAAAGTAAAATTTTATAAATACCACAAATGGCCATTAGGAGCTAAAGTTTATTTATCATTCTATTTTGGTTTTTAAATAAAAACAGACAACTACACACACACACACATACACACACAAAACAACAAATGCCAGAAGGGCTGTTTCTAGAATGTTCTTGGTATTTTTTCTATCACATTTGACAACAAAATTAAAGGATTATACGATACTTTGAAAAGACAATCAGAAGACCCTTTTTAAAAAAAAGCACCTTAGACACAAAGTGTGAAAAACTGTTAGAGCTTTCATAAACGTGTGACGATGCCCACAAAACACTACCTGCTCCTGGAAACAGAAGTCAGCCCTGTGGACAATGAATCGTTTGAATTAACAACCAAATTTTTAAAAAAACAACTTCATAAATGGATTAGAGCAGGTCATAAATGTAACGAAGCACAGAACTTTATAATAAAAGCTAATAATTTTTAAAATGATCATTAAGATCCTGTAATATAACATATAACATATAATACATACAGCGAACTGGGAACATTCTTCTGAAGTGAAATTTTTTTTAAATCAACATAAATCATTTACACTGAGAAGTCTGAGGCATAATTTCCTGCTCAAATATTAAATTTCTAACATAATTTATAATAATATAATACTACAACTTTTCTGCACCTGAACCGTAGAGGAAGATAAACGAAAATACTGCTATCAGGAAATGTGTAGGTTTAAAAAGGTAATATCTATGAATGTGCTAGGGTTCCTCTATTTTTAACTCTAATGTCAAGTCTTTTTTTCATCCAAACAGAAATATATTTAGAATAGTGACCCTAAGCAAAAGATATCACCAAATATTCAAATAATTCCTACTTTATATTTACTGTAAGTCTTTTTGTTCCATGAGCAAATTTCCCATCCTCTGCTACACTTGTCAGCTGATCCTCAAAGGCTCACAGTTTTTTTGTAATGCCTTCTTTCCCTCTGATCTCCACACCAAAACAGGAGTCAAAGTATAAAATACCATCTCTAGCCATTACATTTTCTGGCTAGAACTGCTCAATTATAATCCTCACTGAGTATCTTTGAAAAACCCACAAAACACTTTTCTGCCTCAGCAAGTTGAATAACTTAAACAGAATTAATTCTCTTCGAAATAACGTGTGTGTGTGTGTGTGTGTGTGTGTGTGTGTGTGTGTAATTAGCAGGAGATATTTTCATCTAAAAACATACCTGTCATTCTCTCAGATGAATAGTAATTGCCAATGACTTCATACTGAATGTTGACAGATGGCATTGAGTTTGGATGAGTTACCTCCACAGTCAGCAAAATTGCCATCAACAGGTTTACCACCTATGGAAGATAATATTTTATCAATTATACTAGAGGCCCAGAGCACGAAATTCTGGCAGGGGGTGGGGGTGGGGCGTCCCTCAGCCTGGCCTGCCCTCTCTCGCAATCTGGGCCCCCTCAGGGGATGTAGTAGTGCGCCAAGTGGCAGGCGACCGGGGAGGAGCCAGAACCAGGCCAGGCACCGCCCCACTCACGCTCAACCCAGCCCACTGCGCCTGCTGCCTGCTGCCTGCTGCCTCCACTCGGTAGTGCTGCCGCAGGGGAGTGGGGAGAGGCTCCCGCTGCCGCAGCTGAGCGCAATGACCACCAGGGGGCAGCTCCTGTGTTTGAGCGTCTGCCCCCTGGTGGTCAGTGTGCATCATGCAACTGGTCGACCAGTTGTTCTGTCGTAATGGTCGCTTAGGCTTTTATATATACAGATTATTAATCAGGAAGCAGTTTGCAGCAATCTTCAAAGGTCTTCCCATATTTAAAGTTGTTTTACTTGAAGTAAGAAAGATATATAATTGAAGACTACCTGTGAGATAAAATAATATGCAATACCACTATAGGAATAGTTTTAAAATAAATATATGATAAAGTTAAAGTATAAACTTATCTGTTTCCAAGAAAAGACGGTTGATTCAATTCAATACAACAAACTAAAACAGGGCAACAATTAAACATAAGGGACCATTACAAATCGTTCAAGTCACATCTTCAGATGTCTGGTGTTGAAGAAGCTAGTTCATCCAATATACTTATCCATCAGATAATGTAACAGCCATCGGGTAAACGTATAATGAGCTATCAGAAAAGCTTGAAACCCCTCCATAATATTTCCTATCCAGTGATAGAGAACTATTTCCTCTTGACTAAATTCTTTAAAGACTTACCAAGATTTTGACTATGTCACTTCACATACTAGTCTTAATTCTACCCTTTGAGAAAATGTGCTCCTCTAGCACCTACGGACAGCTGACATGTGCCTCCAAATGTCTTCTCCAGTGCAAACCCTCAGGTTCTTACACTGCTTCTCTCACAAGCATTCTGCCAGCTACATCACTAACTCCCCTTTGCTCTCCTCTACACACAGGCTCCAGTTCGCTGGACACACTATTTAAGAAGCTAAGATGGGCCTGGAGAGAACACAGGGGTCCCAGCTGACAAATTTCAGTTAATGCAGCCTGAAATCACACTGGCCTCCTAAATGTTTTGAATGTTATAGGAGAGTAACTCCCTAAAACCCCTAATTCTTTTTCACACTTGATCCCACTAAACTGCCATCTGAACCTGTACAGTTACATTCAGAGGCCCAAGCATAAGCCCTCAGACATTTAAAATCGAATTTTATCTTATCACACTCTTGCCTGTTAAGACTTTTCTCAATCTAGATTCTGATACCATACAGATTTCCTCTCTCTCTGCATCCTGCATTTGAAAATATAATCAGCATGTAATCAGTATTTCCATCTGTGAAACGGCTGCCAGAGGCTGACCTCTTCCCATTAATCAATAACGTTTGAGTAAAATTGTTTATCTGATCCAGAGGAACATCTTGAGACCTTGTCAAACATCTTACTGAAATCCCTTCATAATTATCTGGTAAATTTTCCGGGGTGGCATGGGAGGGTTGTAACTCCATTTAAAAAGGAAATATTCATGCCTCTAGTTTTGAGTCCCTGCAGTATCATGCACCATGCCCTTTAAGTGCTCAAACTGGTACTAATGATTTCATAGAAAAAAATCACACCTAGAATTGGACTCAGGCTTTCCTATCTCGAGTTCACAGAATCTGAACTTCTCCCCTTTTGAAAATCTGAACATTTGATACTTTCAAGGAATGTTTGAGCCTTATCATCAGATATTTTTGCTGTTGTTGATAATTCCCACCCGAGGTCTGTTGATCTGTAGACAGAGTGAAAGGGAGGGTGAGAGACAGACAGATGTTGGGGAGACTTGGTTGGAAAGTTTGTAAGGAGGACATTCTGATAAAAGGGAAATGTGTGAAAGGCCACCTGCCCTGTTTTATCGGAATTCCGACTTGGGGGAGTGTCAAAGGTGGTGCCCCTGATTATTCCCTGACCTTTCCAAACACGTCTGTGCACGTGCAGACCCCCGGGTATTTACTGGAATCCTTATGCTTAATCCCTGGATGCCCTTGCCTAGAGGACAGTGTAAACACATGTGTTCTGCCAAGATTACTCACCTACTGGTTGTATCTAAAGATAAAAAATCCAATAAAGGCTAATGAGGCAGGCACTCGAGGAGGCCTGGCTCTGTCAGCCAGGCTGTCCCTCAGCCCTCTCCCCCACAGTGAAACTGTGTCCGAGTGGAGTAATCTGTTCATCCACCATTCAGGGGCTGCTGGTCAGCCCCCTCCCCTCCCCCCCCCGGCAGAGAGAGAAACATCGATGTGAGAGAGACACATCAATTGGTTGCCTCCCGCATGCACCCTGACCACGGCCAGAGGTCCAACCTGAAACCAAGGTATGTGCCCTTGACCTGAATCGAACCTGTGACCATTCTGAGGCTCCAATCACTGAGCCAACCAAAACCAAATAAGACTATCATCAGAATTTTAAACAAACTGTATTATGTAGCTTTCCTGTCCACCCTGAATGATAAATAACAGTTTTATCGGCACTTACATTTTCCTAGAGGTGTTTATCAGTCATTACACATTCTCTAAGACGAAGTCTTTATCTTTAAGATAAGGCTAGGTGATCTAAACAGTGTCACAATATCAAATACACAATCCACTAATATTTCTGAAGATATACTATATACCAAGTATTCTGATGTATATCACTTCACTTTATTAAGTGAAGTAAATATTACTAAAGTCCATTTGCAAATGAGGAAACTACAGTTCAAAAAAGCAAAATAATTTGTGTGAGTTCACTGAGCTGACAGAGGATGGAGCTAGAATACAAATCTGGCTCTTTTTAAGACAGCCTGCTTCTTAGCACTATAGGTCTTTCCAAAACAAACGATTATCTAAGGCTATAAAATATTTATACTTTACTCTCCAAATAAATGTTCAGTAACATGCCTTTTTCCTTGCACTGCTCAAAGGCAAGGTACTGGAGAGGCCTTACAAGGGAAAATCATATTTGCAAGATGGCTCCCAGCTGAAGGCTGACTTTTCCATAGTCCATTTTCATTGCAATGGGTGTTCCCAGTGCATATGGTATAAACATATGAGTTAATATGATTAGATGCATTAATTATGGAATAATCAGATACATCTACTAAAGTTAAATATTCTGTTTAAGAAAGTAAGCTTGGAATCAATTCAGCCAACTCGTTGCTAAACACAATATACTCATAGCTTAAAAGCTCTGCGGGGCAGGATGGCCCAGAGGCCAGGACCCCGACCAGCTCGGCCACCCCTCGCCCCTGTGGGCTTCTCGCTGCACCCGGGTGTCCCCGGCCGAGGAGGGCGTCCAGGCGCTGCTCTGAGTCCTGGGAGGCGCCTGATCGGAGAAGAAGTTCCTGTTTGTGAGGCTGAACTAAACCATTTACAACTTTCTACACATAGACTAGTCCTTGTCTCGGAAGCCGCGGCTTTTGTAATTTTTTATCTTAATTTCACTGTCACCCTTGAATATTGTCTTTTGTATTGAGATGCTGGAGGAGCAGGAGATAGTGGTGCCTCATCTATTATTGCAAAAATGTAACAATAAACTTCCTCAAAGGGGGGGGAAAAAAAAAAAAGCTCTGCAGGGAAAACCATTCTTTTATCAAGAAAAACATGCAAACTCAATTATTAAATGAAAGACATGACACATCCAAAATATTTAGAAGTTTAATTTTCCCTTTTTAAATCTTTTCATCACATATAGAATTTATTAAAATGTCTTTTGTTACCCAGGCTGGCATGGCTCTTACACAAAAGGGTCTCTGGTTCAATTTCCACTCAAGGGCACGTACCTGGGTTGCAGGTTCGTTTCCCCACCCTGGTTCAAGTGAGTTCAGGAGGCAACCAATGGATGACACTCTCTCACATCAATGTCTCTCTCTCTCTCTCTCTCTCTCTCTCTCTCTCTCTCTCTCCCCCCTCGTCCCTCCCTTCCACTTTCTCTGAAAATCAATGGAAAAAATATGCTCAGGTGAGGATTAACAACAAAAAAAGTCTTTTCTTCTCTTCCATGGATAAGTCACAATCATCCACTATCTTCTTCTAGTATTAATGACACCTCAAATTTCATTTCAGTGTGAGTCATACCCCTGAATAATAAAACAAATCATGGGTCTAATCAAAAGGACCAAGAAATGGTAAAACAAATTTCAGTGCTACTTCATTAAAATCACACACAATTTTTCAAATCTTCATTGAGTTAATTATACTCCATTAAGTCACCAGATTTCATTGGAACCCCAAGTTACATTTTAAACTACTGGCCCGGAAACCCATCCTTGTGACCTTAAAAAATTCACCACTGCACACCTCTCCTGTGCTTAACTACAGGCAATTCACTTGACTTCAGTTGATATTTCTAAGTTCCATGTAGCATTTTTCAAAAAATACATAAAACTAATTTTATAGTCTTACGATAGAAAATTTCTCTGAAAATAGCAAATATGTACAATTCCAGAATATTTATTCCCAATTCATTTTCCCTTTATTATACTTAACAAAGAAAATTAACAAAAATGTAATTAAAATAATTCATTTCTAAATCTAGTATTATGGAGAGGTATAGAATACAGCAACTATACAAATACGTTAACACCGTGGGCAATGGACACACCACTCAATGGGGGGATGGTACTATAAATTTAGTGGGTCAAAAAACATTATCTTATTTTTAGAGAGAGAAAAACATAGATGAGAAATGCCCCCCCACCAGGGACTGGGCCCAAAACTCAGGCACGTGCCCTGACCTGGAATCAAAATTGAGACCCTTTGGTACACAGGATGATGCTCAACCAACTGAGCCACCCTAGCCCAAGCAGTTTATATTTGAAAGCCTTTTTCACAACTTATATACAAATAAGAACAACAAAAACCAGAAATGTTAGATTTCACTTGTTACAAAGA